ACACTGCAGAAATAATCCAGTTTGACACCACTTTAATTACCCTGGCTCATTGCTAAGGAATTCTGAGAACTATAGCTATCTAGCCCACCCCTTCACCCAGAGCAGCTGCAGCAATGCAATCATGTAATCATGTTTTTTATATTGTATACTGTATATTTTATATTGTATATGTCTAATAATTGTCTTTAATTTGTTTGGTTTGATTTGTTTTTGGGGGGTGAGTGGGGGTGGGAATGAGGGATGGGATCTGATTTGATGTGACTTGTTTTGATATTTTGAATACTGTACGCCGCCCTGATTGCTTGGCAGAGGGGCGGGATATAAATAAAAATTATTATTATTATTATTATTATTATTATTATTATTATTATTATTATTATAGTTTTGTGAGATATTTCGCCTTCTCTGTTAGAGAGCTCTGATACCACAATAAACTACATTTCCTAGGATTCCCTAGCACTGTGCCAGGGCAGTTAAAGCGGTGTCAAAGTGGATTATTTCTGCAGTGTGGATTGGACCTAGGTTTATCCCAAGATTGGTATAGGAAAGAAAGCTATTTTGACAATGATCCCAGATTATCAAAAAACCTTTCTAATCTCTTACCTTCCCCAGCCCTCTTATTATATTTTATTTTTTAAAATTTTCTTAAAATGTAGGACTGGGGGTTTGGTGCATTGGGACAGAAGAAGCCCCTGTTTTACACAACTCCCCATCTTAATTTGGTTTGAAACACCACAGGATTCCCTGATTTCAAGCAGAAGATTCAATATTTTTTGAAGGGACAGGTTTGCTGCAAGGAGAAAACCACCTAGAGACGCAATTGCTGCTCTCTGTTGTGTTTCACACTGCAGCGGTTGTGTGTGTGTTACTGAAGATTTTGAGTGCTTTACTGCATTGCAGAGGAGGAAACTTGTTAGAATTTGGCCAATGCACTGCAGGAAACAAGTGTTTTGATTTGTTTTAGTTTAATTGTGGACAGTATTGTTAGGAAAAATACATTTTTGCTCTGGTTTGGAGGAGTCTGGCACACATACATTCTTTTTTTTACTCTTATGCTGGACACTGTATTGCAGATATTAAGATTTGGTAGTCTATATGAATTGTTTTAAAAAAATGCAAATATCTGAATACATGTTGGTGCAATTCTGATAGGACAATTATAAAATCAACTCCTTTGAGGGCACAGATGTACTTATTTACTGTTTATTAAAAGTACTGTCCAAACAGAAGTACGTTCTGTCCAAAACAGAAGTAAGTCCCCCTTGAATTCAGTAATATTTATCCTCTAGTTAGTGTGTTTACACCTTTAGGGTTGTTGTTGTGTGCCTTCAAGTCATTTCTGACTTTTGTGGGTTAATCTTGGATTCTGCATGGGATAACAGCGTTTTGCATGTGAAAACCATTTGCGCAATTGTGAGTTAATAACGGGTTCTTACCATTTTAAACTTTCAATTTTTTCCCATGTGATAAACTCCTAGCTTTCACACTACAATTGCGCAAAAAAAATTGTGAATGAAACGGAAATGAATTCACAGTATTTCCCTGAAAATGCCTATTTGCTGGTTCATGTCACTTTCTTGTTAGATTCTATGAGGACTGCGCACAACGTCGTGTGGAAACCATTCGCACATTTGCACCTAATATGCTGGATAATCACAGGTTCTTACATGTTTAAACTTCCAATTTTCCCATTGTGATAAACTCCATAGGGGTTTCTGAAAAGTTTCTTCAGATGGGATTTGCCATTGCCATCCTCTGAGGCTGAGAGAGTGTGACTTGACCAAGGTCACCTAGTGGGTTTCCATGGCCGAGCTGGGATTTGAACCAATATTTATCAGGGAAGTTAGCCCACTGAACTTAGCAAGTTTTCCTTCTGGGCAGATATGCATAAGATAGCATTGTTGTCTAAATTTTTGTGTGTGGCATACAATAAAATACAGCTAGCACTGGATATGTTGTTGTTATGCGCTGTCACATTGGCTTCAGCTTATGGCATCTGTATGAATGAGAGACCTTAAGGAATCCCTGTCATTAACTGTTTTGCTCAGGTCTTGCAAACTCAGGGCAGAGGCTTTTACGGTAATTTATTGAATCAATCTTCCTGTAGTGTGATCTTTCTCTTCTATGCTTTCAACTTTGTTGTTCTTGTTGCATGCCTTCAAATCATTTCTGACTTATGGCAGCCCTTAAGGTGACCCTATTGTGGGGCTTCCTTGGCAAGATTTGTTCAGATGGGGTTTGCCATTGCGATCCTCTGAGGCTGAGAACATGGGACTCACCCAAGGTCACCCAGTGGGTTTCCTTGGCCGAGCTGGGAATCGAACCCAGCTCTCCAGAGTCATAGTCCGACACTCCACCCACTATGTCCCACTGGCGCTTTTGTTGTCATGTGCCACCTTCAAATCATTTCTGACATATGGTAACCCTAAGGCAAACCTATCATGGAGTTTTCTTGGCAAGATTAGTTCAGAGGAAGCTTGCCATTGCTCTACCCAGTCTTATAATACTTTCCAGTTATTTATGTTATCTCACTCACCCATCAGAAGGAGGCATTGTTCTTCTCCTGGAACCAACCAGCCAAATCTCTACCTGCATGAGAGCTCTTACAAGCAAGAAGGGAAAGACCTTAGGTATGTTGTTGGTCTATCTCTTGGAGAACTTTCCATCTTAGGCTGCAAGAACTGGAAATTCTCCCACAAAACAGGACCAAAAGGTGATTGTATCTATTGACAGCATTTCCAATTGCAGAACTACATCAGACTGATTTATCCTTGAGGAATCTAGCAAACATGTCACAGTAGGCTCCCTGGGCAAAATCCTGCAGATCCTTAGTAAATAAACTATGCTCCAGAACACACTGCAGAAATAATCCATTTTCAGACTGCTTTTAACTGCCCTGGCTCAGTGCTAGGAAATTCTGGGAACTGGAGTTTTGTGAGACATTGAGCCTTTTCTGTCAGAGAGCTTTGGTGTCATAATAAACTACAATCAGTTTGTTTACTTAAGCAAGTAAGCTTATTTTAAAAATTTATCTACCACTGGATTTTGCCTAAAATGGGGAAGAAGATTCGTGACACAAGCATTTGCAGTTGTAATTATTAATTCTCTTTTTGTCACTGAGACTGATAATCTCAGTTTGTTTGGGTTTTTTGTTATGGTTACTGTTGTTTTGTTTTTAAAGCACACTCCTGTAGAAGTATTTCTATACTTGAAAAATCCATTAACTTACCCCAGCTCCCAAGGCATGCTGCTGCAGATGAACTATATGTTTACTGGCTGAATCTTAGATCTAAGTTCATCTTTCCATTAATGGGATTCAATCAATCCTCACAAAATCAGCATAGAGTGGGCAGTCCCATTAAGATGTGGGAAGGGATTTTTTTCCAGGCTTTTGTTTCCTGCATGCAAAATAAAACCTGGAGCTCTGCCCATCTGTGTGCACCTCAGGGCCAATTTAAATCCTCTGGGTTCACCAGGTGCTAGATGCAGTGCTCAAGGTGAAGGGAGCAAGAAAACAGGTTATTCCAGCTTAGGCAATGCCTCTTGTCTCTGCTCTAAGGCTATCCCAGGACACCAGGATCAGCCTCCCTTTCTAAACTGAACAGTTTTCATGGCCAGGTCATGTGCCACAGAAGCTCTTACCAAATCTATAGAATTTTCAGCACTAGAGCCTGGAAAAGTTAATTTGGAGGACTACAATTCGCATAGTTCTGCGCTTATGTTGGCTGGGGGATCCTTTAAGTTGTTGTTTCAACATTTTAACTTTTCCAAGCTCTGTTGTTCCAGAGAGTTGGGTGCCTTGTGTTTGGAAGTGAGGGCTGCTTATAATATCAGTCACTTTATTCTCTCTCTGTTACTGTTATTATGTGCGATCAAATTGGCTTTGATGTACGGTGACCCTATGGATGAGAGACCTCCAGGAGATCTTGGGCTTGTCTATACAGTCAAAATAATACTGGTGGGGGGGGTAGAATCCATGCTGTTCACATGCAGTGTGAACACATGCGATTTGTTAATCTGTTATTAACTATCATTCTGTTATTAATCTGTTACTAACTGTTATTAACAGCACTGCTCAGGTCTTGCAAACTCAGG